CCATTTTTTCTCACAAAAAATGAATTGACGTGTTACAAACGTGTTTTCCAAGAAACATATATAAATACGCATGTCAAGTTTACGTAAGTAACCGAAATGTACTACTTTGCATATGCATATGCCTCAAGTTCACGTAACTTCTTGCGCATATAACGCATAATACATATGCATTGTAGCGAAACGAGATTCGGTACGTCAGTTTTATGCTTTATGGCTATAAAATCGACGTAAAATGTGTTATCATCATAAAAAAAAAAAAAAAAAGAATCACCATATCGAATGTCCATTAAATATATGCACGAGGTCAGCCAAAAGATATTTTTGTCATTTTATCTTGTATGGATTTAAAGTGAACAATAGCGACGATATAATTCGTTCCATTCTGTCTTAATAAATCCGATGAAGATAATTCTCTCATATATTTGCAGGTACAGCAGGATCAGTGAATCAAAGAGCTTCCACGACGCACTCGACGGCGGAGATCCTGCTATTTTGGACGGATCGTTCGATAGCTATGACGATAACGAAATAATAAGTGAGAATATCACTTTGGAAACAGAAGCTGAGAGAAGACAAAGGCTAGACAGTTTCTACTCTGCGACATCCGCGAAATCAACTTACTTTAGCACGGGTTCAATCTCTAGCTATCATAGTATCGAGGATCCTAATAACGGAGATGTTGGTAAGCTTTTTAATTCGCAACACTAATAATCCCGTTGAAATGTTGTTAATCCCCATATTGTGTACTGTTGTACGCATATCTCTGTCTTATTTATTTTGAAGTGCTTGCTTGTAAATATTTTATGTACGATTCTTATAGAATAAAAGCTGCTAAGAGATTGATTTAGTTCCTTCAATTAGTTCAATCGATTATCTACAGCTTATCTATTTGAATTCGTTTGCTTCTATGTGGTACTGCTACATTCTCCTTATAGTTCGTATAATAAAATAGTGATGTATATATAATTATAATTAAAATCTATGTATAATTAAGATCCAGAGAACAATAGTGAAGTTATGTATGGCCCATCGTCGAGGTTGCCCGCCTTAACTTCAGAAGTACCGAGTTCTTGGACGCAAATTGAAGGTAAAAATGAATAATAATAATTCCTTCCTGTAAGAAAGAGAAGCAAGAGTAATATTTGAAAGTTCATTTATCCGATGTATATATAAATTACAGATGATAAGTTATAATTTATACAAGATATACGTATGTCAGTTTACCCCTTAATGGCCTGCATGCATCTTGCGCTACCTTACATATTAATTCGAGGCTTTATCCACTGCAACGCTAAACTTGGTAACGCTAGTACATTTGCTTCCCGCTATAAAAAAATAGCAAGGACAGACATCGTGCAAGTAGTATTACTGACCATAATCCGTATTTGTACATGAATACGTAGCCAGTTTGTGAGTAAGGCCATAAAAATGCGTATCGATATAAATGGATAAAATATAAGAACATTTACAAACAAACCCTACTGACATTATTATACCATTTGTACAATAGTATTCCAGATTTGCATTTAAAAGTTAATTTTAGATGACATTACGATAAAACGTTACTTCCATTATTTCAAATATTGTTTCAAATTTTTTAAATATTATATTAATTGATGTATAAATTGGTGAATTATTCGATAAATTTATTTGTGTGTGCTTGGAATTTCAGGAGAGTTCATTATGGTGCACGCGGCATATCAATCTCATTTGGGTCAAGATTATTTCTTTGCACCTCGTGCCAAATTGGCGGACGGTATCATTTGGCTCATGATAGTGAAAGCCGGAATTACTCGAGCCAATTTGCTCCAGGTAAATAGTTCAATTAGAAACAATATCTCTGACATCTCAATTCATTGCCAAACAAATGACATGCTTCTAAAGATCAAACCTATTTGTTTATTAGTAAAATAATTTAACTCTCTGTGATCCTAGTCTATCCGTCTGTATAAGTTATACAGCACATCATCATAAAATTATACTTGAACTGAAGATCCACACGTCTTTAAAAATATAGGATTGATAGATAAGTAACAAGTAAACGAGATTAGATTTATCTATCAGCCACATATTTGAACTGTTTTATAAACTTAACAATTTATTATTAACCAACAGATTGTGATCACAAAGAGCTAAGTACATACATAATTTTATTATTTGAAAACAAGT